TTCAGGTTTTATGTTTCTGAGAATGTTCTTGTCTTTTCTTCCCATATGAAGGATAATCTTGCTGCATACAGTATTCTCGGTTGAAATTGCTCTTCCCATAGCACTTTGAGTATATTTTCCCATTCTTTCCCCACTTGCATTGTTTCCGATGAGAGGTCTGCTGTTAGTCTGATGGGATATCCTTTGTAGGTAACTTACTGTTTCTCTTTTGCCAATCTTAGTATCTTGTCTTTGTCTATGGTTTTGGTCAATCTGGCTATAATTTGTCTTGGAGAAGATCTTCTTGGGTTGATTCTATTTGGAGTTCTTTGTATTTCTTGGGACTGGATCTTTGAGTGCCTCTCTAGGTTTGGAAAGTTTTCTTGCAGGATTTTATGGGATAGATTATCAATGCACTTATAAGTCTCTTTGCCTTCTGGGATGCCAATTATCTGGATGTTTGTATGTTTGATGGTATCCAGTATTTCTCATGTATTATTCTCAATTTTTGGGGCAATTTTCTTAGTCTTCATGGTGGATTTTTCTAGGGCAGCAATTTTCTCTTCTACATTTGAGATTCTATTTTCTGTATGATCTAGTCTGCTTTTAATATTTTCAAGGGAGATTTTAACTTCTTGTATTATGGCCTTCATCTCTAACAGTTCCATTTGATTCTTTTTAAAAGTGTGTAATTCCTCTTTTAGATCTTGCAAGAATTTCCTCACCTTCAAGAGGAGTTATTCTTTTCCCTTGGAAGAGAGGTATTTTGTTGCTTTCCCATATTTCTTGTGGCCCTGCAGTGATTTCTAGTCATCTGATGGATGGTATGTTTCTTCCCAAACTTGAAGTTCAATCTGATCATCCAGGAGCATGCAGAAAAGGAAACAAAGGGAGAGAAAGAACAGCAACAAAAACAACCAAGAAACAGAGAAAAAGAGAAGAAAAAAACTGAAAAAAAAAACCACTAAGAAATTATTTTTATGGGAACCAGCAGTTAGCGTTAATGGCTGTGTCTCTGCACTCCCACGTAGTCGACTGCGGTTTGCATCCTGGACCTGGTGGCTTAAAACTCACGCCGGACGTGCGTGTGTGTGTGCCCAAGATCCCGAGAGGAGAATGGAGGAGAAGGGATTGTGGTGTGACCATCTCCCCTGGGGGGTGATTTCTCGCTTTCTGTCTCTATGTCTCTCTCTGTCTGTCTGGCGAGCGCACGCACCCTATAGTGAAAACCTCTCCAAAGGGAAAAAAAAAAGAAATTATTTGTATTTAAAAAAAAGCAAAAATTAGAAAACCAAAATCACTAGTTCTCAGGAGCCACAAAGGTGTCTTCTGAAGGCCTGCTCCCTTGCCTCTCCCGCATTGGGAGGAGGAGAAGGGATTATTAACACGATAAAGGGAAAGGAAGGGCTGAAAGCTGAGAAAATACTTTACCTTAAAAATTTTTAAAAAGGAAAAATTCCAAAAAAATGAGAAGACAGAGACAGAAGTAGAGAGAGACAGAGACAGAGACAGAGGCAGAGGCAGAGGTGAGAGAAGGCTTGATGGAGCTCCTACCACTTGTATTTGTGGGCTGGAGGCTGAATTATCAGTAGAAAAATCTTCATTTCTTATTTCCCTGAAATCACTAGTTCTCAGGAGCCATGAAGGTGTCTTCTTAAGGCCTGTTTCCTTGCCTCTCCAGTCGAGTTTGTGGGCTGGAGGGTGAATTACCAGTAGAAAAATCTTCATTTCTTATTTCCCTGAAATCACTAGTTCTCAGGAGCCAAGAAGGTGTCTTCTTGCTCTAGAATTAAAAAAAAGTTTATGTTTTGTATCTCTTTGTCAAAATTCTCACTTTGTTCTTGTAGTTTTTATGATTTTATTTAGCTGTTCTCTTATTTTTTTTATAGCTGGGTTTCTTTAAGTTTATTATTTTGAAGTCTTTTTGAGTTTATACATCTCCATTTTTTTTTC